TTTTGCCAAAAAAACTATCCAGTAGTTTTTGTCATGCCCTAGCCTATCTACCATGAAAATATGAGTGAAATCGAATTTTCGACCCTAGCCGAGTTATTTTCCATTTTTATGGACAGGGACTCTTAATAGTCTAATTAATAAATTGCATGTCTTACATACCCTTCCCCACAGCACTCATTTAACAATTTGTAGGAAACACATATTTGCATTTTTCTCCAAATATCTGTCTCTTCAATAAGCTATGGAGTTTCTTATTGTCGCTGGCGCGCTCACTGCTGGTGCATGCGGCAAACAGGAAACGGTAACACATTAATTTTAAATAATACCTTCACATCTCGCTCTGGAGGAGTTTCTTCATCTTCACTATCCGCCATTTTTCAACAGATATCGCTTAATTTTAGTCTCTACAGGAACGTTAAACTGAAATACGGTCGGTTAGTAACGTTGACTTTCACATGGATCAATCAGTCCGCCATTTTGCCCGTACCGCAAAGGATCATGACCAGCTTTGAAAAGGACTAGGGACGAGGAAGCAACATTTGGGAAGAGCAACGCCTGGTTGAAATCATTGTTCCAAGAAACCGTATTGTTTTGGGTTGCCATTTCTTGGAAAACATCTCGACAAATCGTCAATTTTTATTGGGCAAACCGAGGCAAACAAGGAAAAAATTAACTCCTTGCTGTTGCGCAATGCTTTGCAGTTTAATTTTAGGTTTTGCACTGTCATGCGAGAATTCTACCAGTGCAATATGCCCTACAAGTTTATACAGAGCTACCGGCCGGCACATCTAATTAGTTAAATTGTCGAATTCGCTTATTTAAATGCATTGTTGTCGACTGGTAATTATACATTGAAGTGTCAAACATTATGGCAAGTGGTTCGGATACAGCCGCTAAATTTGCTGAACTGAAGAAAGATGTCGTTGACATTTTAAGTTTTTGTGAAGGACACCGTTTGGATCTTGGCAGATTCAAAGAGGAGTACAAGAACAGGTTCAGGAAGCAGTTTGACAAACAGTATAAGATTTTCAAGAAGGGATGGAAGTTCAAAAACCTCATGGCGGAATTGGATGATGTCATTGATTTGGAAGAATCGGAACACCACAAATCTGTTGTGGTAATGAAACTGAAAGAATCGTATTCGGCAAGCCGAGACTCGAGGAATAACCTGACCTCACCAGACAGGTTGGAAGATAGCGCTGGGTTTCAACAGGTCAAATTAGATTCCCCAACGAAATCACCGTTGTCACAAACTACAGAGAAGGAATCAAAAACTGCCACTACCTCAAATAATGATTCCTCAAATGTTAGTGGCCGCACATACCTGAAAGCACAAAGGCGTCTGAAAAAGACAAGTACTGAATCGAAAGAAAAAGATCGTGAACCAGCTGGAGGAAATGTCGCAACATCGATTAGCCCTACGGTGTCATCATCACCTGAAACTTTTGCCATGTTCTCGGGTTCATCTCTCCTAGGTCTGCCACTGTCACCACCACCAGTTTCTAGACTAGAAGCTTCAGGTATTTTACGAAATAGAAAACATTGTCTGTGTTTTGTATGTAGTGGAAGTTTGGGAGAACAAAAAATAACAACGATTTTTTTACCATATATTTCAAACACCGAGAAGAGATTTGAAAATACAAGGCTCAGTGGAGTGTTTTTGGACAAACTTTGAGGTGCTTAGAAATGTGGTAAAATATGGTCCCAGTGTTTGACTTAATGTTCTCAATCAAGACTGAACTAGGAAGAAAGAATAGAAATGAAATCGTGAATATATTCTAACCGATTTTTACAAAAACATGCCCGCTATTTTGGTGCAAAGTCTTTAACACGGTTTTCATAAATTCAGGCATATATTGGCACATAATGTCCTAAACTGCTTAGGGAATTCCCTAGTTTGACTCTAAATGCTTTAGAAAGATCGACAGAAATTAGACACACTGGTTTTCGACCTTTCTGGGTCATCCAGTCTTNGGGGGGGGGGGGGGGGGGGGGGGACAGAGTTGAGAATCCCCATATGAAGGTGACAGGAAAGAAAATTTGAAAACTAAAACAAAAAACAAAATGAAAACCTAAACTAAGGTTCCTGATTCAGTTTTGAGGTGTTCCGCAATCCCAAGTTCAGAGTGTGTAATTCTGCAATCTTTGTTTTTGAGAGTCTTGGATTGCATGTCTATAATGAAGTATGACATATGAACGATATCAGCACAAAAAAAGGGTTTTCACAGATTTTCTTGATGACTGACAAATGATACTGACCAGCATAATCTTATGTATGTACTGGATATGTCTCAGGCACTCTTATATTGCTTCAAGCCCAAGCAACCTTGAAACTGCCAAGACCTGGAAATAGGTCAATTATTAACCTTAATCAAATTTCAACATTCCTGCCTGTGATAATTTGAACTTATCATCATTCATTTTCCAGGTTTTACTCAAGGAATGCAAATGACACCACCGCAAAGAGCAGAAACAATTAATGCTGGAAGTGCACAGGCCACGGCTTTATCTCTCCGTGAAATAATGGAGCAGCAAGCTGAAGAGGAAAAACTTGCTGGTGCGAGTCCCTCTACTCCACGTCTTGGGTATGAAAAGCTATTGCAACAGATGGGCACGCCCACTGCAGTGAAAGGAAATGCCCACTTCTCTCCACCAGACCTCAAAGATGCACGAATTAGAGAAGTTGGAACTCCAGGCCCATTAGAAAACTCGATTATTCATGCCCAACATGTAATGGTTTCCAATTCACCCAAAGCAAAGTCTGCAAGAAATGTTTCTCTTCATGAGGTTAATAGGGCAGCAGAAGATATCATTGCATCTTTGTCGGAGGAAGGTCAGTTTGTTTGTCTTGAGGTTGTAAAGGCCAAACTCTGCAAAGAATTTGGAAAATCAAGTCTCACTACAATGGGCATCAAAAGAGACAAGGACATTCCCGCCCTCAATGAACTAATTCAGATGCAGGCCAAAGTGAGTGTCTGAAAATTATCTGGTACTGATGCACCAATATTGTGCAGAGGATCATAATGTATTTGTATCCCATTTAGTCTTTTTATTACATAACTATGAACCAAGTCTCCCACCCCCACACCGCTAAAAAATCAAATGGTTCACCCCTGAAGTGATGCGTTTTAATTATAGCAAACATAAGCTTTTCATTGATTTTGTTTACCTGCACTGGGTGAGGAAATGATAAATCCTTAATTCAGAAAATGAAAAGAAAAAAAAAGAAAGAAAAGAAAAGAAATTGCCTATTCACAGCAAACACAAATTGTCACTTTTCTTTCTTTCTTGTAGAAGCACAGACATGGGAAGCAACCTGTTGTTTCCTTAAAAAAGGCAATTTTTTTCATCTTTCCCCACCTGTCTCAGTACTTCAGTTTCAAATATTAGACAGTCTATGAGTATTCTTTCTAACAATTTTACATTCCCCACCAGGTCAGCTTATTCGTGCATGCCTACGTCATGTCAAACAGTATTTCTACTCTGTACGAATTAAACCAGAGTCTTGCAGACCTGGGATCCCAGCCAGACTTTGAAGATCTCAAGCTAGGTCCCCTGGTCCAACAGCCTGTGGTATATGACATGTTTAAAGCACCAACTGATCTCGCTGAGCTGCCTCATATAACCACCATTCAGATTCTAAAGCATTTGGAGAAGTACATGACCAGGGAAGACTTGTGGCGGAAGAAAGTGGATTTAACAAGATTCATGGAGTACCTGTGTGAGGAGTATCGCTGTCAAACTCCGTATGAACTTGGAGTGAGGATTCAAAGCATTGGATTGGCCATTTCGGTGCAGTTATAATAATCATGTCTTTTACTTTTAGCTCATCTATTCTCTAATAACAAACACCCTTTCCAATAGGCCATTTCCGAGTTGGCTATTGATGCCTCTGTGTCAAAACGATTCTTCGTGTGAAATGCCTTAAGGTTCATTTTCACCTAAATCAAATTTATTTTCGTGTGAAAGGTTTCGCATGAAGTTCATATTTTGTGTAAAGATGGTCGTCGGGTGGTTAGCAATAAGGGGTCTGGGTCATGTCTGGGCATGTCTGTATGTATGTCCCACTCTTAAACGGGGTCAAGACACTTTACTCTCACAGCGCTTTGGACTACCGCCTGAGGTAGGGGGACCAGTGAAATGCCAAGGCAGCGTGACGATTAATGCTGGGCGCTAACCATTCCACATATTTGGGCAACGCAAATTATTACTAGTCACCGTAAACTGGGATAAGCTCCACTTTGGCCTATCGTAAATTATAAATTAAACAGACTTTGCCTTTTCCTGTATACTTCTTTGTACTGTCTTTGGCAAAGGAAGGTTCGTCATGGAGACACTTTTTTTTGTCCTATAATGTTTGCTAATAGAGTTGTTGACTGTGTTTTTAGGTGATTAAAAAGGCCAAACACAGCGAGAGTGAGAAATGGAAA